TTCAAATACAGATATATCTTATACATGCAGGCTTCGGAGGTAATTTTATACAGTAATTTTGTATTATGTTGTTTTGATTATGACTCCTCACATAAAGTCAAGTGTGGGATTTTCGCACTTTCGTAGAATCATGTTGTGGTTCAAAAAGTTTTAGATTTTGGGGGCCAACAGGTGACATGGTGGTTAAGGGTGCTGGATTCCCTCATGGCTGATCACAGTTCAAGTCTTGGACCTGGCGACTTGCTTTCTTTCTCTCTCTCTCTTTCGCTCACTCACTCATTCACTTTATTCCTCTCTGGTCAAGTTAAAAATAAATAAATAAAGTTAAATAAAATCATTCTTTAAAAAAAGTTTTAGATTTAAAGCAGTTCAGATTATGGGTTTTTAGAAGGAATGATCAGCCTGTAATAGCTCATGTGACTTTGTACATGGCCTTCCGAGTGTTTTTAACCATGCTGCAAATTGTTATCTTACCTGTATAAAATTTTTATGTAGCATTATAGGCTAGTTTAATATGGGAAATATTAAATTTGAAAAGACCTTGGAGAGAGTGAATTGTACCTCGAAGTAGGCAGAAAAAGAAGGCCTGCTGTATTACCTGAAAAGAAGGTAAAAGGATATTTCAAGGATAAAGCCAATAGAACCAGGAAGCTTGTGTTTTTGGCATAGTTGGAGGTAATGTTGATGAGGCAGGGTAGGATGGGTTCACAGAGAATTGCTTGCAAACCTAAGAAATCAGACTAGTAGGTTAGTGGTCTTCTAGAATAATCTAGACTTCTGGTAACTTATCATGATTGAAGAATTTCATTGATAAAATAAAAATACTGCTTCATCCAGCTTGTATTAATGTTAATATTGTATACTTGAGAGCACTTAACAGTTTCTAAAGAGCTCTAGCTACTGGGACCAGCAGTTGACGTAATGGCTATGTCACCGGACTCCCATGTAGTCAACCATGGTTCGATCCTGGGCCGGGCACGTGTGTGTGTGCACCCAAGATCCTGAGAGGAGAATGGAGGAGAAGGGTGATTTTTTTGCTTTCTGTCTCACTTTCTGGCAAGTGCATGTGCCGTATAACAAAAACCTCTCCAAAAAAGAACTCTAGTTACTGTTTTATTTCATCCTTGGAACAAAGCTATAAAATTGGCAGAACAGCTAGAACCAGGCCCTAATGAGGGAATTCCCTCTTAAAATTGTTTTAAGCATTGATTTTAATAGTAATAAAAATTTTCTCATAGCAAACAAATTATAGCAGAGTATAGATATTAGGAGCCCAGATCAAATTGGAATAAATACCCATAATACATCCATGAACTCCATAATCTAAGAACGTGGATTGTAAGATTTTTATTATGCATTGAAGTACATTTGAATAAATGGCCTATTGCTTTATAATGACAGAATGAAAAATTAGTTTGTTTTTAAGTGCTAAGAGTTGTAAGTTTTGAGCTTACACATTATGTTTAGCTTTTGAATGAATTCTTAACTCTGTATATTCTTTTGGGGAATCTGAACAATTAGCCAATCTTTTGAAACATTAAAATTTCATACTGCTGTTAAAAGATTTCTGCCATCTTATAAAAATTTATGATTTACTGGGACCAGCAGATGGCTGGTAATGGTTACATTGTTAGACTCCCACATAGTCAACTAGGGTTCAAGTCCTGGACGTAGTAGCTTAAATTCACACTGGGTGTGTGTGTGTGTGTGTGCGTGCGTGCTCAAGATCCCAAGAGGAGAATGGAGAAGGGATTGTGGTGTGGCCATCTCTCCTGGGGGATGATTTCTCCCTTTCTCTCCCTCTCTGTCTTTTTGGTGAGTGCACACACCCTATAGCAAAAGCCTGTCTTCAAAAAGAAAAAAAAGAAAGAAATTCTGATTTACTAAAGTGAAAATGAAAACTTTTTTTGGTACAGGATCACCATCTTGTTATTTCTTCTGAGAAAAATTGAGTATTCATTAAATGACCAGGGCTTGATGTTTTAGCACTAAGTTTTCCAAAACAAGATACTTGAAGTTTACTTTAGTGCTGAACTTTGTTAATGCTGATAGATGCTATGAATGGAAAATTTGGAAGGGGACACTTTTGGTTGTGATCAGTTTCTTAGAGACAAATTGTTAATAGATCACTTTAAGAAAAGTTTACTATGGGGCCTGTCCTGTGGCCTACTGGTCAGGGAGCTGGATCCCACGTGGCCCACCCTGTGGTTCAGTCTGGCCCAGTAGGTTGAAAACATGTTGCATGTGCATGATGCCCAAAATCCTGATGGGATGGAGAAATGGAAAAGGAATTGTGGCATTACCATGCCCCATTGCAGGAGCTGGGGGTGTGCTTTCTCTGTGTGTGTCTGTTTCTCTCTGCAAAGCACATGTCTTCTGTCTTATAAAAATGCATTTTTTTCAGGCTGGCAGGTGGTGGGTGTGGTGGTTAAGGGTGCTGGACTCTCACATAGCCAACCATGTTTCGAGTCCCAGACTTGGTGTCTTGCTTTCTCACTTTCCCTCTCTGTCTCTCACTCTGTCCCTCTCTGGTCAAATTAAAATAAATATTTTTTTCTGGCTTCTATTTCAGTAGATTATGAAAGATTATGAAATCTTCCCTTGAGCCGTCACAACTATCAGAGTTCTTAGTCATCATGTCCTCATGTATATCATACCTGTCTATGTTGGTAAAATGAAACTGAAAAGTTATTTTTCCTTGTTTTGTTTTTAAGAGAGATGTATGCTATAGGGCACATGGTCTCACCAGAGAGACAGAAAGTGAGAAATCACACCCTGAGGGGATGGCCATGCTGCAATCACTTCTCCCCCATTCTTTTTTCAGGATATTGGGCACGCACACACATACACACACCTAGAGTGAGTTTGAAGCCACTGGGTCTGGTACTCAAACCATAGTCAAGTACACAGGAGTCCAGTGGCATACCATTACACCATCTGCTGTTCCCAAAGCTAAAAAGGCTTAGCCTGGTAAAATATTTTCATTAGGAATAGACAGTGATTCTGTAAACAAATTAGGGATGCATAAGGATACAACTATTAGTCCAATAAACTCATAGCAATAGAATTACTAGTAAGATATTGGGCCTTAAGTATTAGGTGCACTTAGCATAATTCAGACCTGTATTAAGTGACCCAGGTTCATGATTTTATATATATCATTATACTGGGTCATAAATGAAAATTGTTTAGGACATTGTTTTCTACTGATACCAGGATGTATCCTGGAATTTGATTTCCTGGAAAATCCCCTAGTTTTGTTTCAGTCTTTTGAGTATTTGCTGACCCTATATCATAGCTGTCTTTCTGTAAAAGTGACAGATCAGAAGCCAGAATAGCCATATTTCTTTTTTTTAACCCAGTACAAAAAATCCTTGCAGTGTTGTGAGTGTCCTTTGACTATTTTTCAGCACCATTCCAAACACCTGCTATTTCTCTCTAACGTACAGTTTCTTCATTAGTTCCCACCCTCCTTTTAAAACCTCACTGGTATACTGGGTTTGTTAATGAGGCATTTAAGGTGGAGAATTCCCTTACAATGTCTCATTTTCAAGTATAATCTGAAAAAGATTTATACCGAAGTCTAAGTCATTTCTGGATGCTTCTTCTAAACTAGACTAAATGTTTTTTTGTTTGTTTTGTTTTTTGTTTTTTTTTGTTTTTTAAAAACAGCATCAAATGTAAAATTCTTTTAACAATGATTCCAAGTGAGTGCTGGTTCGTTTTACCTTGCCTTTTCTGTCTTTTTGAGAGCTTTTTGCTATAGGGCACGTGTGCTCGCCAGAGAGATAGAGAGACAGAAAGCTAAAAATCACCCCCTGTGGGGGGGTGGCCAAGCCGCAATCCCTTGTCCTCCATTTGCCTCTTGGGATCTTGGGCATGCACGCACACGCGCCCAGCGTGAGTTTAAGCTACCGGGTCCGGGACTCGAAACATGGTCGACTACATGGGAGTCCAGCGACAAAGCCATTGCACCAACTGCTGGTCTCCCTTGTCTTTCTTATTTTTATGTTCAGGTTACTCAGGATGGGCCCATAATTACGCTTTTGATGTAGAACGAGTAGATTTTTGAAGTACATATGTGGGCCGATGTGTGCATGTGTGAGTGACCGTTTCCTGGGAGGCTCTGTCGCACACACTATTCATGGGGGCCACATTTTTTGCTTTAGTAATTTCCCTATCCAGGGAGTTCCCAGTTATCCTCTTCTTAAAGTTTTTTGCCAACAGTGTCAGCCAAAGGGAATAAAAGGATCAACAAGTCCAGGTTCTTTGAGTCAAAACCTTGATTCTTCCTGGTTTCATCAATTACTTCTCCCTTGAAATGCTATGTAGAAATTTAATTCTCATACTCTGAGCAGCTTTTGCTTTCAGCAGTGTTTTATTGCCTCACGTCTTCTGCTTATTTTCCTCTTATTGGAAAAAATAAAAGAGGAAAAGTAGTAATCTTACTCATTCTTTATGTTTGTCAAAATGAAAAGTACAAGAAAGTAAGCCAACTGTAGTTCAGTGTGTTTTGACTGTTGTATTGGTCCTCATGGTTTCTACTCAGGTATAAACTAAGTAATCATCATACTTAAAGTGTAATTTTGAATTAACCATAGTGTTCGTGTTTTTGATAAACGATTCCCATCTATGAATACACTAAAGTGCCTAAGTGTGTCATGTTGCTAATATACTCCCTCTTATTGGTGGAGTTATTCATTGTCAGACGCTTGTGCAGATTCATTTGTAAGCTCTTATGTCTTTTCCTTGTGCTTTGTGCATGCACACATACATTCCTATACTATCCCGTTAAAATTTGTGAGAGTTCCATTAAATTTGTTCCTATTACCCTTACATCCCAATTATTTCATTATTATTTATGTTCCTACAGTTCAGTTCAGCCTAGTCAGCTAGATTTTTAGATAAAAATTTCCCCATTTTTCTGACCTACTTAATTTTCTATCCTTGAGTTGTTGGCAACTTCTTTTCTAATTTCTTTTTTCCCTCCCTCCCAACAGAAATTTCCATGCAGTATCGGCATGATGGAGCTTGTCCAACAACTAGTAAGTTGTCAAACTGGGTTGGTAACCAGGCCTTTTCACTCCTACTCTAGTGCTTTTTCTAGACTAAATGTTTAATTTTTTAAAAAACTGTGTCAAATGTAAAATTCTTTTAACAATGACTCCACACGAGTGCTGGTTTGTTTTTACCTTTCTTTGTGTGTCTTATAGTGCTCAAGTTATTTGAGCATATTATGTCACCTCTGAACCTTTAAATTTTAATATTCCAAAGTGCAGTTGGTTCTTAATTGAATAGATTTCTTTTTCTTATAAACATACCTTAACATACTGCTTTATCTTATTCATGGTCCATACTACAGAAAAATTGTGGGCAAATCTTAATTATTGTTAACCTTTTAATATGGTGCTTCCATTGCAGAATTGTGACTACTTCTTAATGAAATAATGTTTTAGTATTTTGACTTCCATTATTAGTCTTAATTTAAGTTTCAGTCTTTGTATGTTGGCATTAGATAGCTTTCTTACTTATACCTGTATGTGTAGTTGAGACTTTATTATACTGAAGTCTAGGAAATAAGAATGTTTGATAGGGTTAGATGGATGTGTTGAGGTTATTCTTTAAAATAAATATTGTGGAATGTGCCCTCAGGTAGATTTACTTATATAGAATTGCATCCTGTATAGATTTACTTTTAGTGAGACATTACATAGATTGGTAAGTGACTTTTAAATGATTTAAAATATGTATTTATTACTAAGGTGATTATTGTCATTATGACAATAAATTTAATATATTATCTCATTTAGTATGTAAATGAAATACAACATTTAGAAATATTTACCATGTGAAAACTGAGCAAAGACTGCAGTTTCAATGATTCAAACAATGATAATGTGATAGACTTACTGAAATAGTAGTATACTGGTTCAGTCTGTGCCTATGTATTTCTTTTGTGTGTTTGAGAATGATCTTAACGTGAAGTCCTTTTTTTCCTTACTTGAAAGCTTTCTCAGAGTTGCTGAATGCAATACACAATGGTAAGTTTTATTAGAATCTTCTCTGGTGGTTCATTTATCACAAAGGTTGCCTTTTGTAGAGAATCTCGATTGAAAGCTAGCATGTTCTATTGATTAGCTGAAATCCAGCACTGCAGTGAGTCAATTGTTCAGCACCTTAGTGAAAACTTTGTAGATTGCCTACAGGAGGATGATAGGTCAAGACAGTTCATCAGTTAGGCTCTTATTGTCTCTTTGTGAGGCAAAACGATAACAATGTTGTTCTAAGTTTCTGAAAGTCATTTATTTTTGCAAATGGTTTTTCTAGTTCTTTGAGCTGTTTCTTGCTACTACAGTTAGTAATCAGAATCTACATCAGGAATTTGCTGCTTCTAACCACACCTTAGAGTGTGAATATTACTTTTTAGGATTTTGGCTCGTTAATGTATAGAATATTTAAAATTTTTATACCTAGGGACCAGCAGATGGTTTATATCCCTGGACTTTCATGTAGCCAACTGCGGTTCATTTCCTGGACCCAGCGATTTAAAACTCATGCTACGCGGGTGTACATGCTTGCCTGAGGTCCCAAGAGGAGAATGAAGGAAAGGGGATTGTGGCATGGCCATCCCCCTAGTGGGTGATTTCTTATTTTCTGTCTCTGTCTCTCTCTTTCTCTCTGGAGACTACATGCACCCTATAGCAAAAATCTCTCAAAAATTTTTATAGCTATATTATATATTATGAATAAGTAGAAGGTGGCCTTTTAAATTGCCTTTTGTTTGGGACCAAGTTTTTACAGTGGAGGTACATTTTCTGCAGGTTTAGATTCTGAAATCAAGTATATAAAGCACATGCTCTCATTTTTCATTTTCTTGCATTGTAATCAGAGTGAAGATCATTTTTGCAAAAATGCCTGAGGGCTTCTTCAGTTTCTCTAAAATCTTCCTTAATCTTTTTATTTTCAAGAACTCTTTTGGACTTAGTATCATCTTTGTTGATTTTCTTTTTTAGTTGTTAACAGATCTAAGTGACTTGTTGAAGACTGTATATATGATTCCAAGCAGTTTCTCAGTACATTTTTATTAAATTTATAAAGTCTTGCATATTTTGCTAATGTAGTTTAATTTACAATATATTTGCACTATGTTTGGATGGTATTATCAGATGTTTATGAGCAGGCACAGACACTCTAGTTGCTTTGAGAGAGGGAATGGTCAGGGTGGGAAACTCATTTATAAGGGATCATTTTTATCAATGAATATGGTTACTTTTAACACTTGCTTCCTTATACAACCTTTACTGATTGAGGCTTAGGTCATTAATACTGTAGACAAGAAGGAACTGTTGAACATTAGGAATCTAGAGGGAAAGGGGATCAGAAACATTCTTCTTTTTAAAGAATTATTTAATTTATTATTGTTATTATTACTTTTTAAATTTGACTACAAATTTGACACAGAGAGAGGGGGAAAGTGAGAAAGATACAAAGAGAGAGGGAAAATGAAAATGGCCAGATCCGAGACCTGAACTGCAGTTAACCATGTGGAAATCCAGTGTCCCTAACCACCAAGCCACCTGCCGGCCCCCCAGAAACATTCTTATTTATTACTAATAAACTTATCATATTATCATTCTTCAGTAGAGAAGTATAAAAGCTTTAGAATTTTAACATCTTCTTCAGTAGAGATAGTAAATTTATACTTGTTTTTTAATTCTCACAATATTAGCGTTTAGAGATAACCTGAGCATTTAAAATTTTCTTTTACTTGGAGTAATAAAGGAAATAGATATCAGGAGGAGAATGAACTGCCATGTAGAACTGTGCTGCATTGACAGTTTGAGGCTAAAATTTATGGAGTATTTCACACACAACCAAGTCATTCACCTAATGACTTAGTGTCATAGGATTAACATCGTAAGTATGGGTTTTCTTTAAAATGTTTGGATTTTACAAAATTGCATTTGAAAAAGAACTCTATTAGTGTGGTGAGATACCTGTGTTTTCACAGTAACTAGATAGAAAAGAAATAAGTAGAGAGAGGGGAAGAGAGAGATACATACACACAAAGGCACCCATGACAGGGTCTTCTCACCAGTCTACTCTCAGCCCACCAGGATCATAGTCACATGTACACGAGCCTTATGTGTATGGGGAGACCTCAGGATATGAACCCAGCATCTTGCCATCTTGAGAATCACAAAGCATTGCATTACTGGTACACCACTGTAACTGTCCTTTGCTCACATTTTTGACACTTTAATAAAAATGCTCTTATATTAGTTTAGACTCTAAATTACTTTCACCATTTACTCTATAGCATCTGATGTGTTTCAGAATGTTTTGTAAGAACTTTATAAAATGCATTACTTCACTAACATTTGTTTTTAATAAAAGTGATAAAAATGGTATTAAAATAAAATAAAAATGGTGAAAATGCTAAGGGCTGACCTAGCATTGCAGCAGTTAAGTGCTGTACATAAAAAGCTGACCCCACATGATTGACCATAGTTTGAATCCAGGCCCCAGCACTTGATAAATATACTGGATTGGTATGCATGCCTACCCTGAATCCCACTGTGGTGGAGAAATGGAGGAAGAAGGATTACAATGCGATGTGACCATCCCCCATTTGGAGCGGGGGAGGTCTTTCTCTCATTCTCTTTCTTTTTCTCTCTGGCAAGTGCATGTGCACACTGGTAATTAAAAAAAAAAAAAAAAGAATGTTAAGGACCAAGGAAATATTGGATATTAATAGTTATAGACTATCAGCTTTTCAACATAAGCCTTGACTTGTTTCTTGGAGAGGATGTTATAGGTGGTGGTTCTTTTGGTTGTGTGTGAAATATTCCATAAATTTTGGAAACTGTGTTATTGGTACTGGCAGGTGGTGTGGTGGTTAAGGACGCTAGACTCCCACATGGCCAACTGCAGTTCAGGTCCTGGACCTGGTGGCTTGCTCTCTCACTTTCCCTCTTTCTCTCACTCTGTCCTTCTCTGGTCAAATTAAAATAAATAAATAAATGAAGTTAAATAAAATAATTCTTTTTAAAAATTGTGTTTTCAAATAAGTAATTAAGAATGAAATCAGGGCTAGTAAGTGATGTGGTGATTAATTCCCACATGGCTGACCACAGTTCAAATCCCAGACCTGGCAACTTGCTTTCTCATTTTCTCTCCTTTTTTTTTTTTTTTTTCCTTTTCTCTCTCTCTGGCCAGTGCACATGTCCCATAGCAAATTTTAAAATAATAATAATAAAATTAAATAAAAATTCTTTAATAAAAAGCAGGTGAAAAAAACAATAAAATCCAATACAAAGAAACATCTTACCAACCTCAAAAAGAAAGTTATAACTAATAGGATAAGTTTTATGTAATTATAGACATTTAGGAAAGTTATAAATTGAACTAGTATTACAATTACTACCCCAACAAAAAGAAAACAGAAAACTTAAGCAAGATTATGTAATGCACAAAGCTTTTGGAAAATTTTGGAAACTTTAAGGTAATTTAGAAAGGTAAATAATCATTTTAATATAAGAAGGTATATAAAGGGTTAAAAGTTTTTTAATAAAAAGAACTATTTTATTTATTATCATTATTTATTTAATTTGACCGGAGAGAGACAGAAAGAGAGAAAGGAAAAGTAGGAAGATAACCCTCTAGGTCCAGGACTTGAACTGCAGTCTGCCATTTAGGAGTCCAACGTTTCAACTGCCATGCCAATACTGGCCTCTAAAGGGTTACATTTAAATAAATGCCCATGAAGCAAAGTCCCTTGCATTTCGTACTATAGTTGACCCTTGGAACAATGTGACTGAGCTGTGTAGGTCCACATATAAGCAGATTTTTTTTCAATAACTGTACCAGAAATTATAGTATAGTACTATAAATATATTGTCTTTTTTTTTTTTTTTTTTGAGGGGTTTTTTCTATAGGGTGTGGGCGCTCTCCAGACAGAGACATAGAGACAGAAAGCGAGAAATCACCCCCCAGGGGGGATGGTCACGCCGCAATCCCTTCTCCTCCATTCTCCTCTCGGGATCTTGGGCACACACACACACACACACATGTGCCCGGTGTGAGTTTTAAGCCACTGGGTCCGGGACATGAACCACAGTCAACTACATGGGAGTCCAGCGACATAGTCATTACGCCAACTGCTGGTTCCCAATATATTGTCTTTTTTAAAGAAAATTATATTTTAAATTTTTTATCATCATCATCATTATTTTTAAATTCACTGCAGGGCACATGCGTTCTCCAGAGAGAGAGAAAGAAAGAGAGAGAGGGAAAGTGAGAAAGCAAGCTGCCAGGTCCAGGACTCAAGCTGTGGTTGGCCATGTAGGAGGAGTCCAGTGTCTTAACCACCATACCACCTACAGGCCATGTTAGTTTCTTAGCCTTATGATTTTTTTGAAAGATTTTTACTGTTGGGTATATATGGTTGCCAGAGAGACAGAAAGCAAAAAATCACCCCCAGGGAGGATGGCCACACTGCAATCCCATTTCCTCCATTCTCCTCTTGGAATTTTGAGCACATGTGTACAAGTGCCTGATATGAGTTTCAAGTGCCAAGTCCAGGACTTGAACCATGGTCAACTACATGGGAGTCCAGTGACATAACTATTACACCATATGCTAGTTCCTAGCCTTACTATTCTTAATATTTTTTTCTCTACCTTACCTTATAGTAAGAATATAGTATATAATACATATACAAAATATGTGTTAACTGACTGTTGATGTTATCAGTATGGTATTCCAATCAACAGGCTATTGAGTTTTGTGGAAGTCAGAACGTAGGCAGAATTTCCACTGTTCAGAGTTGGAGGCTGCGCTCCTGATCACTGTGTTTGTTGTTCAAAGGCTTGTTTTTTTTGTTGCTGCCTTGGAATTGGGCAACGTAACTAGAGAATTCAGATTTTATGATTTTAATAAACTCTAAATTTAACTTCTATTTCATTTATTAGATGTATTTAAAATGTATGTAATAATGATACATAATGTAAATGGAAAGATTATAATCTAATTTTATAGC